CAATTCACAATATAAATGGCAATTTATTAAGTCCTATTCTGTTTCCTCATTTTATTCTTAAATATTTCAAACTAAAGTTTTTTTAAAATTGGGATTTAATTAAATGTTGCTTTAATTAATAATCAGTTTAACGTTTTATTAGTCGTGTGTAATATTTTGTAATTAAAGTCACTTCCTTAATTAAACCATCCCCAGGAAGTGACCATTTTGGTTGGACAACAACAGCACAAGCATCAGTAAACATTAGCAGTGGATTTGAGGAATTTTGTGATGTTTTGTAGTTTGCTAGTTGGCTTTTCTCACTTTAAAACATCCCATTCTGTTTGATAAAATGACAGAATTGGTTATAATAATATCAAAACTATAAAAAGAAATTCAAGTAGAGTCACTCTCTGTGCCTCACTGAGCAACTTTGGATCTTTTTTCCATCATCTTTCTGCATTCTGTTAATTTTCTTGTCACTGTGTAAATAACCATGTAATAATTAATGAAGAAAGTGCCTGAGCTTGAGCAGAACATATTTCTGAAAGCCTGGTATAGCATTTGGTAGAACATTTATTTTATTTTTTTTACGATACAATTATACCTCAACAATTTACACAAGACTTCAAATGTGTGACGCATTTTAATATAATCCTTTTTAATGACACCAACCATGCTGAATAGAAACACATAAATGGGTCACGAACAACAAAGCTGATTTGACACACGTCAGTAGTCATTACCAATGTTGACATGTCATTGAAGCTCAGTTTGAGTTATTTGTGAATTCATTCATTTAATTTTCTTAGAGACCGCAGCTCTTTAAATATGACATGAAGCAAATGTGCACACACACAGAAACTGACAAGAGCACCCATGCGAGTCAGTAAAAGCACATCTACAAACATTTAAGGCGCAACTTTATTTGTATTTGTGTAGGTAACCGAAGTTAAGCAGTAATGCATTTGTGTTCTGAGACCCAGAGGGTTTCAAAAAGATGAAGACAAAGGCCTCACAGAGAATTGATAAATCACTTAAAGCACTTTTCTCTTTTTTTAGAAGGGATTTGTTTGGAAACCATTTCGGAAAGCCGCTGGCGATGGTAGTCCCATGCCACAGTCCAGATATCAGCAGATTATTACTTCCTCCGCCGAGCTGCTTTTGTTGATATGTGAAAATTCCCAGAGGGCAAGCGCCATAAGCTGTTGAAGTCGATTATGAGCTTGCATTGACCTCACCTTATCAATGTGGCAAGCCCTGCAGCCATGTTTGCTTGGCCTTTGTCTCTTGTGAAAACACCGCACCTCAATTTCTGCAAGGGAATAGAAGTGAAATCTCAGATCCATGATAGAGACACTTTGACATTTTCTAATGTCTCTTCTCTCCATTTGCTCATGGACCCATTTTGGTTGGACAACAACAGCACAAGCATCAGTAAACATTAGCAGTGGATTTGAGGAATTTTGTGATGTTTTGTAGTTTGCTAGTTGGCTTTTCTCACTTTAAAACATCCCATTCTGTTTGATAAAATGACAGAATTGGTTATAATAATATCAAAACTATAAAAAGAAATTCAAGTAGAGTCACTCTCTGTGCCTCACTGAGCAACTTTGGATCTTTTTTCCATCATCTTTCTGCATTCTGTTAATTTTCTTGTCACTGTGTAAATAACCATGTAATAATTAATGAAGAAAGTGCCTGAGCTTGAGCAGAACATATTTCTGAAAGCCTGGTATAGCATTTGGTAGAACATTTATTTTATTTTTTTTACCAGAGAAATCGAAATGTACTGCAAAACAGGAATAAGCCTAGGATACACTTCTATAGGCCTACATACAGTATATGTACATTTTAATCTGCAATCTTGGTTTGGAATAAAACATGCCTGCTACCCATTTATGTCATCCTAAATCCTAGATAAATGCTTTGTTCAAAATATAATGTACTTTAATTTGTGACATGAATGCTTAGTCACTTTAGTTATTTTGCTACAGGTCCATGTGTTTAATTATCAAATACAGACATTTGCATTTTTAGCATTTCCTCCTCAAAACCTTTTCATAAAACTGTTTCACATTCTCATGCATTTATCTTCTCTAATAATGATCTACTCCACCTTTTCCTTTTGAGTTAATCAAATAAATGAATTATTTAGTAGGTTTCAAACCCAGGACAGAGATTTGTTTTAAAAATGAATATGCAGCACTTTATTGTCAGAGTTGCATTAAATCGCCTTTGAAGGGGTTTAATGCAACAACCTTTAAAAATCTCTGGGCCTTGGTACACTAATAAAAGCTGATAAAACATATTTCACATCATCCATTATTACTGTATTAGTCTTGCCATTGTTTTTCACATGATAATACAACCCACAAATGGCAAACATGAAATATGATTTGTTTTTAGAGCCGCCGCAATATGGCTTTCCAGCACCATGTCGCTTGCAAATTGTTCATATGGAGAGCACTTCTGAGCAGTTAGCACATGAAGGCAAACCCTCACCTCTGGTTTGTGGTAACAGCAGCTAAAAATAGACTATTAAAATCTCACTGTAGTCAAGGACACTCCACTGATTTACATAAAAACAGAACTTCAAACATGTCTCTGACAGAGGTCATTTTATACATTTCCAAGAATGTTTGGCTCACACTTTCTTACCAGCGATGGACTTTTCTGTGAGAAGAAGATAAAAATGTAAAAAGATCACGGGGTGTGTTCCAACACACGGACTAAATTTTAAGGCACAGCGTATCTTCCAAACCCCTAGTAAAGTCTCCTGGAATGAAATATTTTATAACACGTTTAGGAAAGCTGCATGTGAAAATCTTATCATTTTCCTGAGGTATATTGCCCTGCAGCACATCTGAAGTGAGAAGAACCTTGTAATGAGATGCAGTGAGACTTTCACCAGCTGTTCGTCATTAACGATTCTTTCTCATACGCAACAACACCACATGAACCAAAAGTCACTACAGCTACATACGAAAGCATCACACAATAACATGCCTTTATCCATCTGCTAATTAAAATCCTATTCTGACAGTACTTTACTGTCCGGCATCTGGGTTATTTCCAATTATTTCAGTTTGCGTTAATGAACCGTTAAAGGTTTTTTTTTTCTTTTTTTATGGTAACACTTTAAAATAGTCCAATTCTCAATATTAGTTTCTTATTAGCATGCCTATTATTTATGTACAACAATTTGTTCATTTTAACTGTAAAAAACTAGTAATCTGTACTATTTGTATACTATGCCTTTGTTACTGAGAAACCTTATATTTAGTTCTAAAAGGGCTTCTATGTCTGCATTTTTAGAGTTTTCCATTGTGCTGGAGAGTAGAGCATGTGGATAGGTTGAAGATGGGTCTCCAAATGTTAAGACTAATTACTGCTTTATTTTAAAAAAGCAGTAACTGCAGTTGTTTATGCAGTCATTGTTGTATTATAAAAACAAAACAGTAACTACTGTTTTTTTTTTAGTAGTGGTAGTGTTTTTGCTGGCATATTAGCATGTGCATGTATGTGTTTGCTAGCTAGGCAACCAAAGCTTAATTTATTGGCTGATCCTTTAAGGCAATTGATTTGAATGGTTTTAACAAGTAATCAGATCACTGTTAAAGTAAATATAACTGAGACATTTGAAGTTACAATAAATGTTACATTAGTTAGCTCAAATTAAATGAGTCGTTTGGAATACAAACCTAGTATATTTAATTTAATATAAATAATTTTTTGAAACTAAAGAGTGTTTGCATGTTGTTGTTGTTTTTAAAGTAAGGTTATCTAATTAGATTTGACAGTTTTCTTGTGATCTCTATATAAAAACCCAACCCATTATCCAGCAGTACTTTATGATTCTTAAATACAATAGCCAGATTTAAAAATCTGAACTGGAGGAGGAATGTTATAAAGACTTGAATTAAGAAATTACTAAAATGAATAATGACTTAAATCTTGGTACTTGTAAATTAAGGCTTAAAGACTAATTTTATGAATATGTCCACTATGAACTGTCATAATTTATATAAAAGGTATGTGAAGATTGTTCAAAAAATCTCCTGTTGTGTTTAACAGAAAAAAGCAGAAGGCTTTGGAACAACATAGCCTCATAGTAATTAATTAATGAAACTATCCTTTTAAAGTGAATAGCCTACATGTGTAGAACAATAGACTTAAAGTCTGCAGAGACACATTCAGAGAGTGATATCTGACATGTGCATCAAAAAAACGATGTGATTTTAATGTGAGATTTGGGTGCATGCGCCCTTCAGAGAACCATGCCCTCACCAAAACTATAATGCTGTTGTTGTTTCAATGATAGCCACTGCTGAGCTGCTCTATTTCAACATTGTCACAGCTAAAAGTGTGTTCCACCATCACTGGGTTTGATTATAATGCCTACGGACTGCTGTGTCAAAACATAGAGGGCAAATTAATTCTTGAGATATGTAGAAGGGTAAAAATAATGATTTTATGGGGTCTTTATAAGGAAGGTCGTGTGCTTTTTCCCTCTGCAGCATAGTGTCACACACTTGAGTTCTCGCTCAAATCACATGACAGCATGATGTTTATTCCCCATGTCACACTGTAGAGAGTTCATGATCCATCACAGTGATGTGTCCTCTGATACACCAGCCTTTGCTTATGGGTTGGCAGGTAGGATCGTTGGATTCCTGCACTGAATCAACTTTGCAAGCAACGTATACTGGACAATCACTGATCGACCAAAAATGAAGAGAAAATCTTCATCTTCAAGTTTTGTGCTTCTTAATATGCAGCGATACAATTATACCTCAACAATTTACACAAGACTTCAAATGTGTGACGCATTTTAATATAATCCTTTTTAATGACACCAACCATGCTGAATAGAAACACATAAATGGGTCACGAACAACAAAGCTGATTTGACACACGTCAGTAGTCATTACCAATGTTGACATGTCATTGAAGCTCACTTTGAGTTATTTGTGAATTCATTCATTTAATTTGCTTAGAGATCGCAGCTCTTTAAATATGACATGAAGCAAATGTGCACACACACAGAAACTGACAAGAGCACCCATGCGAGTCAGTAAAAGCACATCTACAAACATTTAAGGCGCTAACTTTGGGGAAAATGTATTTGTGTAGGTAACCGAAGTTAAGCAGTAATGCATTTGTGTTCTGAGACCCAGAGGGTTTCAAAAAGATGAAGACAAAGGCCTCACAGAGAATTGATAAATCGGAATTTCGTGAAAAGAGAAAAAAATCTTCCCTAAACAAACCTTTGCATTTCGGAAAGCCGCTGGCGATGGTAGTCCCATGCCACAGTCCAGATATCAGCAGATTATTACTTCCTCCGCCGAGCTGCTTTTGTTGATATGTGAAAATTCCCAGAGGGCAAGCGCCATAAGCTGTTGAAGTCGATTATGAGCTTGCATTGACCTCACCTTATCAATGTGGCAAGCCCTGCAGCCATGTTTGCTTGGCCTTTGTCTCTTGTGAAAACACCGCACCTCAATTTCTGCAAGGGAATAGAAGTGAAATCTCAGATCCATGATAGAGACACTTTGACATTTTCTAATGTCTCTTCTCTCCATTTGCTCATGGACTTCAGATCTCAAAAACACATTCACTCTGATATTTTTAGCACCATATAAATGAGCCAGAGGTCAGGGAATTTTCTTTGTGTGATAAAACTATGTGGTTGGCCATTTGGTGAACTGCTTGTCCTTCATGACTCTCTCAACTATATAATCTGAAGAGCCAAAGCTTTCAAGTCAAAGGACAAAAATTTGTCACAAAACTAAAGTACAGATCGCTGAATTCACCTTTCTGAGCAAAAAAATCCAATGAATGTACTGCAGATAACTTAATTGAAACCTTGTCCTTGATTTTTTTT